GGGGCCTGGGTAGCAGTTTCTATCTTGGACTCTCCTTGTTGGTGGCTCATCGCTCCTCTCTGTTAACCTATTGCCCAGGGTTACATTCCATTTAATCTAGCCTGAAACGTTGTTCCCACAGGTGTCACCAGGAGGCGCTGTTACATGCCTTACACCTTGTTTTTGGATTCTTAGTGTGGGGGGCAGTGTCCTGTCTTTAAAGAACGCCCAGCTGTTGCTCGTTTTGTGATGCACGCTCATTCTGTGGGAGCTGTGGCAAATGGCAGGGGAATTTATTCGAATTAGAGTCAGTTCTTGCAGCAGAGTTGCTGCTTCCTGGAAATCAGGTGTAGGCATTTGGCCAAGAACCCCAAGAGAGGGGATTTCCTGGGTGCTGTTTGTGACCCCCTCTGCTCCAGGACTGGTGTCAAGAACAAGCTACGACAGGAATGTTGCTGCGGATGGCCGGCTCTAGTCCAGGATGTCCGGTGGTGGCTGAAGACCTAGGCAGAATGCCCTGAGCCCGTCACAGGACAGGGCTTTTACCGGCGAGTGGGGACTGAATGGCTGCCTTCAGGGCACGTTTTAACCGCGGATTTGCCGACCTGTTTGACGCAGCCCTTGCACAGCTGCGCACAAAGCCGAAAAGTGGCTGTGGCAGGGCTCTGATTTTTAGGGTCGCTGGTCGATTGCAACGCTTGGGGCTGGGGAAAGCAGTGTGAGCCTCGGATTGCCTGAGGGCGTCACTAACGGAGTGGCGTGATGGCTGAACTTTACAAAGCAGGGGGGCAGCTTGCAAATGTCACCTGCGCTCGGAGCTTCCTGGGGCTGCTGGACGGTTGGCGCGTACTGAGGCGAATGAACGTGTGTGAAAGAGGACAGGGCCTCGGGCCACGGCACGGCGCCTGCTAGCTTAACGTCACCCGAGCGTGGTGTTTGAGTGGTGTATCGGAAATGCACCAGACTCTCTGTAATTTTGCGGGGGGAAGTTGCGTGGGATTGTGGGGATGCAGCCATGTCCCCGCTGCACCTCCCCGAGACCACATCAAGCAGAGGCCAGGTGAGCCGCCCGCAGCGGGCGACCCAGCTGTTGCAGCGTGTAAATGCTGCTGGATTAGTAGCTGGGGCGTTAATGAGCTGGTGGAGGGGAGAGTAAATTACTGTCTGAGGCAGCCCAGCGAGATCACACGCTCCCCGCAAAGCAGCCCCTTGGAGTTTGGAAACAGATGCCAAGTACAAAGTGCCGAGATGTGATTGATGTGCAGAGGCCGACCTCCCCGCCCAGAGACACAGGGGCTGGGGAGGGAGGAGGTGAACATTTGAGGAGCTGGGCAAGGGGGTCGCCCTGCTACTGAAGGGTGGTCCCAGGGTCGAGGTATGAGGGGGCTGGGTTTCCATGCAGCATTACATTGGGAAGAGGGGTTCCCAGTGTTGGGGGTCCCCGTTCAAGCTCTGAAGCTGAGACTTCCGGGGGGGATTAGGAGGAGAGCCCCCCAGGGGAGGAAGTGGAGCTGGAGGGCCCAGGTGTCTGTGGGCATGAGGGGACGATAGAACAAGCGCAGGTGGGACACTGAGTCACCAGTGGAGGGTGGGGGGCAGTTTTGGATGGGGGGAGCAGTGCACATCCCTTGGTGCACCATGGAGCACTCTGGGGCCGTGCTCCTGCTGGAGGTGGCCGGTGGCCCTGTTGGTTTTTGAGATGTGGAAATTACAGATCCCAGGGGAAGCAAATCTCTTTGCAGTGAAACAAACTTGGCCTGTGTGAAAACCCCACCCTGTATGTGTCAGGGCATGGACCCCGTAGTCCTGGACAAAGTCCAACCCAGGTCCTCCAATCCTGCCTCTCTGCTTCCTTCTTTCCTGCAGGGCCTGTGGCCACCATTATTCTCAACTGAACCACAGTGGAATTGTTTCATATTCTCTGTGTATATATAAAGTCTGCTGCAGTTTCCACGGTATGCATCTGATGAAGTGAGCTGTAGCTCACGAAAGCTCATGCTCAAATAAATTGGTTAGTCTCTAAGGTGCCACAAGTACTCCTTTTCTTTTCACAGTGGAAGAGCGGCTCCTAGCCAGCCGCTGTGTTTTCCCCAGAGGTGGCTGCATTTCAGTGATGGGGGAGTGATCACTCTTACGCAGCCCAGCATGCAAGCTGGTACGGTGCTTTGGGAACCTGGGGGTGTTACAGCCGATGTTTATGCACAATAACCCACGATCGTAAGCTAGTCTCTGTAAGCGCCTGATCGCCTTCTTGTTCCTTCTGTCCCCTCACTCGGTCTTGTTTGTTGTTTCTGGCTCTAAATGCCCCAGGGCAGGGACCACAACTGTGCCCGGCATGGCAGAGCCCTGATCTCGAGTGAGGCCTCTGTGTGCTACGCACATGTTAATCCTGGCAAGCTCCTTTCGGCCTGGTCTCATGTCTCCCATGACGCCCAGAGGAAGGCGCTAGGGTCTGCAGGAGCCAGGCAGCCTGTCCGTTTGCAGCCACCAGCAGTTAGAGACAGGGCTGTCGCTTGTGACAACTTGCGGTTTGGTAGCTACTCAGTGTTATAATTCTCAGGACCCCAGAAATGTCTGTTTCTCAGTTGAGTCCTGCTGGGCCCTGTACTTAACCTGTGGGACCCTCGCAGCAAGGGCCGCCTTCAGTTCTGTGTCTGTCCAGCCCCTAACGCAGCGGGGTCCTGCTCCCAGCGGGGTCCCTATCACTACCGCCATACGAACAACACCCTCTGAGCGGTCACGGGGCCGAGTCATCGGCAGGGCAGGTGTTGCCAGGAGTTCAGGAGCTTTTTCCCTCCGGTCCAGCCCACGTTGTTTGTCTGCGGCCGCTGGCCGGCCCACAGAGCCGAGTTTATTTTGCAGTAGACACAGCTGCGCCCGACGCCAAGGGCCGAGTTCGGAGCTGCTGTCAGTAGTGCCCTTCGTGTGCTGATTTACCCCAGGTGAGGATCTGGGCCCATGTAGAAATACCCCCCAACCCAGCATGCTGCTCACCGCCCGGCCATCGCCCTTCCAGACGAAGCCGGGGTGACGGATGAGGGAGGCTGTGGAATCCGCGTCCCTGGAGGTTTTTAAGAACAGGTTGGACAAAGCCTGGCGGGGCTGATCTAGGTTTGTTTGGCCCTGCCTCAGGGCGGGCGGCTCTGGATGGCCGCTCGAGGTCCCTTCCCGCCCGCTGTTGCTCTGAGCCTGATGCCAGCAGCAGTGGGGTTGCTGGGCCCCGAGTTGCAGAGGCCAGGGCCCTGCCCCACTCCGAGTCAAAGCTGGGGGTGGCCAGGCAGAACTGAGCTCAATGGGCTTGACGGGATGGGGAGACGGAGGCCTGTCGGGCTTGAGATCAAAGTCAGCAACGGGGCCAGCAGCGGTCAGGGGCGTGGCACAGGCTCGGCCATGGTAATAGCTGGCTCTGGGAGCGGAGCCGGCCTTCGCTGCCTGTTCCCTCCACATCACAGTACGTGCCAAGACCTGCACCAGCCCGAGGGTCTGACCTCCCCTCTCGCCCTGAAAGGGGGTCCCTCTGGGGCAGGCTGGGGGCAGCGGGCCCTGCTTTCTCCATGCCACGGGTAGAGGCCTTGGATCCGCTGGGCTGCCGGGCCGGCTCCTTCCCCTGGCATGGGGAGAGCAGCTGGCTCAAGCCCAGAACGTGGCAAGGCTGGATCCCTCCTGCAGCGCTTCGGGGGGCCCTCCCTAGCTGGGGCAGCGGGGCCTTTCCTTCCACTCTGGTGTTTTCCTTTCGCGTAGCCCGGGGACTGAGCCCAGGATGGCCGGGGAGATGCCAGCAGCAGGAATCCGCGTGCAGGGCAGCGGGGGCTCGTGTGTGACAGGCACTCCCCTCGGGCCCCGCCAACGTCTGAGACCATGGAAACCGGCACGGCTCGGTCCCCTGAGCTCTGCGGGATCCTGCCCGTGGGGCCTGGGGTCACTGTTGGTGCTGCAGGAGCTCGTGGGCGCAGGATGTGCCAGGCCACTCTTATGCTGGGTGGGTGAATTTGAAGGGGGTTGGGCTATTCCAGGGCTCCCCCGACTCCCCTCCTGCCCAGTCCCAGGGGATGCAGAACTGCCCCTGTCCCCATGGGTTGCCTGTCTTTCCCGAGTGACGTTTGTGCTGGTGGAAGATCCCAGCCCCCCGCAGCTCCAGGGCCTCTGCGCCCAGCTGTATCCCTGGAACACATACAGCGTGGCCGGCGGCAGGACAGGAGGCTGCCTCTGTGGCTGTGTTGGATCCCGCGTCCATTTCACAACCGCCTGGGGCCTAGCTTCCCACCGGCTCCCACTGATCCGTGGAGATCCTGACCCCTCTGCTCCCAGGGGTGGATCCTGTGTGGGGCCAGAAGGCTCAGTGGGACTGAAGAGCAAATGGGCGAAGGAGGTTAAAGTGGTCAAAGGAGCACCCCATGTTTCTAGGGGGTCTCTTCTGCCTTCCCGCAGCAGCGGCTAGCCGCATAAGCTCCCTTTAAACCCCTGGGGACTCTGCAGAGCAGGGAGGGGGCTGCCCCTCCATTAAAACCCTCTCCCAATCTCCCGCCCCCAGCCCACGCTCAGAACCGCTGCACGGCGCCGTCTCCAATCCACTTTTATTCACAATAATAAAATAACTTACCAGACACCACCAGCCGCGGGCGCGCGTGGCACGGCCCCGGGGCGCTGGGGACCCCTCCTCCTCTTCGAAACACTGGGTTAGTGTCCTTACAAATCTTGCTTACATGTTTTTTTCATATGAAAATCCCTTTTCAGTGCAGTCCGGTGAGTCCTGAGCTGCCCCTCTCCATTGAATGAGCCGGGCGGGCGAGGGGAGACTGCTGGGATATTTAGTCCCCTGCTCCCTGGAGGTCTCTGCCCGTGTCCACACTGGGTGGGGACGGAGCTTTTGCCGGAGCTGCTCACGAATGGCCCGAATCCCATCCAGCCTCTGCAGCCCGTGGGCTGTGGCTAATGCTGTCCCTGAGCAGAAGGAAGGGTACATAGCTCGGAAACGCCCCCCACCCTTCCCTTCCCACCCCACCCCACCCCTGCCCCGCCACAGAGTTGCCCTGCGGGTCCCGGCGCGGGGTCTCTCCCCGTCCGGGAGCAGCGCCGGGGTCTGCCCGGGCCGTCGTCTGACCGCTCCCCGCGGCAGGGGCCGGCGCGGCCCCGGAGAGGGCGGAAGGAGCGTTAACTGGGCTGGGCGGCGCCGGCCGGGGCCAAGGGAAGCCGCTCCGGGCCGCCTCACTTGCAGACGCTGACCCACTCGGTGCGGCGGCAGTCCTCGCAGGCCACGAAGCAGCACCAGTGGAATCTGCAGTGGCAACGCTCGCTGCGGGTCTGGCGCAGGATGTTGTGGCCCCGCCCGCAGCACAAGCTCTCGCAGTTGTCCATGCCCGGGCTGCTCTTGTTGCACAGCCGGCCCTGGGTGCCCAGGGAGTCCAGGGCCGGCTCCCGCTCGCAGAAGTCGGGCGATTTCTCGAAGTAGATGAGGTCGCCAATGCTGGCTCGGCGCCGGTGGCGCACGGGGCCTGGCTCCAGCTGGCCCGTGTTCCTGTTGTGGGGCCGGATCAGCGTGGCCCCGGAGAAGCGGTCCTTGAGCAGGGAGCCCACCAGGCGGAACTCGGGGGTCACCTGCCAGCACGTCTTCAGCTGGCAGCTGCCGGAGGTGCCGTGGCACTTGCATTTCCTCCGCATGTTATCCAGCACCACCTGGGGGGACAAGGGGGTTCGTTAAGCCCAGCACAGCACCCCCTGCTGCAAACGCAGTGCAGACAGCAAACCAGCCCCCGTGTGCAATTGGAACTGAGCCGCGAGCTCGCTGCCGGAGCAGCGCCTGCCTTTGCTATGGCTCGTTAACGAGCTGCGTTAATCGTCGAGGACAAAGGGGACTCCGAACATGGGGGATCGGTCACAGCAGCCACATAAGCCCTGGTCTTTAGGGAAGAGGGTTGATGGTACCTGAACGGGCCGGCTAGCGAAAGTGCACAGGCCTGGGCCTGGAGCCCCAGGTTGGAGTCGCGGCTCAGTGACCGTGGCCCTTTGGGGACGTGCGCTGGGCAGCCGGAGGCCTGGCTGCTCGCACGAGGACACGGCAGGCTGGCTTTGACGGAGCACAGGAGGCTCCGTGGGTTAGCCCCACCCACCCAGAACCCGGCTACGAAGGGCAGCTCCCGCAGCGTGGCTGCAATTGTCACTCAAGCTGGCTTTGATCTCGCTGGATCGCCACTAGCGAGCTGCTGTCACACCTCCCGCCTGCAGACCCTCCGTTTTCCCAGCAGTCAAATGGGGAAACTCCCTCCCTTCCTCCCAGGAGAGCTGTGAAGATAAAACTCCTCACTGAGTGGGAGGTGCTCGGCTGCTCCGGTGAGGGGTTGAGTTTAGCTCGAACGGACACGCTCGTAAACCCCAGTGCGGACACAATGCGAACGGTTTATGCAGGGCAGCTTACGGCTAAAGGGGGCTGGACCAAACCTGCCTGTCCTGCTTGCGCTAAACATCCACTCGTGTTAAAACATCTCTGAAAACGCCAGCATGGCGGAGCCGCTCGCTGCTTTTGCTGGGCAGCCGCCCCAGCACGCAGGCTTGGAAATAGAGCCAGCTAGCACGAAAACAGCTGCTCGTGAGCGCTAAACTCTGCTGCCCTCATCAGCAGGGTCTTCTCCATTCCCCGCCCACTTCCATGATCGATCCACCTTCTCCTTCCATTTACGCAGCCAGCATGCACCACTAAAGTCATCCAGCTGAGCCGGCCGGTTTCTGGGCACTGCCATCTCTTTCTTGGTCAGTTAGGCTTCTCACAAAGGCTGCTTGCTGTTTGCCGTTCCAAGGGAATTCACACTGGATTCCCCCAGTTAGGAGCCAGAAGCTCTTGAGTAACTTGGAGCCGCCTACTCCAAAAGCAGAGGTGGCCCCTAATACGCTGAGCTAAAGGAAAATCTCCATGAGCTGTTAGCAGTACAGGTCATAGGACACACTATTGAGCAGTTCTGATTCCAGTCAGTAGAGGGCAGCAGTCTCTTTGACACAAACAGGGATGGAGCTAGAGAGATCCATTACCTTACAATACCACACACACACAGGATTGTACTTTGACAGATGGTTGAAACAGAACCACAAGGTTTTTAGGCAAAACCGAGCAAAAAATCAAATCCCCCCATGTCTACCTCTTCCACCTGGGCTCTGGCAGACCTGGAGAGATTTGATTGATTCTCTTGTCCTTTCTTATGACAAAACAAAAGTCTTCTCCTGGAGCCAGAGTCTGACCCCGGAGCCCCTCTCAGTTCTGTTTAAAATTCAGAAATCCAGAGATTTTATACAGCCGTGTTGGAGTGTGTCCCCACCTCCTGCCCTTCCTCTCTATACCCCCACTCTGCCTGGGTCCCCTCCACCCTTCATATAACCAGACTTTGGGTCAAAAATACCAGCATCTGCCTTGCCTGTGACTCTCAGCACAGGGACTGTAGCATTATTGTCTGTGATGTAGTGGTGGGGAGAGGGACAATGGAGGGGTCCCTGTGATATATGTTGGGGGAGGATGTACATATGGGGTGTGTGTGGGGGTGTGTGTCATATCTGCCCTGTAAAAGATTGTATAACAATAGTGTTGCCAACTCATGATATTTGGTTTATTTCTTAAAGCCCCAGCTCCTGGAGTCCTGTGATTATGAGGAGACTCGGGTTTCATTTAAAAAGGAAAATGAAGTACGGGCCAATGGGAGTTAGGTGCCTAAACACCTTTGAGGATCTGGACCCAGGATAACCGCACCACCCATGTGCTGCAGCCGTGAAAAAGACAAACACGATGGGAAGCCGTGTGAGGCGAGGCGTTCCCCATCGAGATAGGGATGTGTTAATGCCATCGGACCGGGCTGTGCACACGGTGGGCCGCCCACCTTCAAGGAAGATGAATTTGAAGAGGAACCGATGTTGAGACGACCAGGGGGATGGAGGGCCGCTCTTACGAGATCTGATTGCTGTCTCTAAATGCAGCAGGGGGGCAAACCCCAGGAAGGGAGGAGAGTTATGGTAGCCAAAGGGGATAAACTGGCCATGCATAGACACAGGCTGGGAAGGAGAAGGAGGTTTCTAAGCAGCGGAGGTGGGAAGAATGGGGGCCAAGACACCTGTCTGCTCTGAAGATGGAACTTGATCAGTTTACGAAGGGGATGATCTGTGGGGGCAGCTGACCCAGGACATCCCTCCCCATCCAATGGTCTGATTCCTAAGCAGAACCACTTATTTATTATTCCTAAAGAGTGTGGGATTGTGGGGCCCTGACTCGCACTGTCTGAATGGTGGGGGCCGGCAGTGTCGTGGTTCCCGGCTCCCCCCAGCAGTCGTGACGCCGGGCGTGGGCATGGCCCGGGTGGTGGGTTTGGCTGGTGCCATGCTGGGTGCAGGTGGCATGCTGGCGTGGGCGGGTGGTTAGCCCCGGTCAGCAGACAGGCCTCTGGTCTCCGCGTGGGGACGCAGCAGGCCTGTACTTGGGGCGGGGCAGGGGAGGGCAATGCTGCGTGCGGTTGCTGCAGGGTGTGGGCGGACAGGGCAGGTGTTTGTGGTGTTGGCCAGGAGCCGGGAGTCGGTTGTTCGTGGGGACTCGGGGAGGGGGGTTTGATTTGTTTGATGTGGGTGGCCACGGCCTGTGTGGGTGGAAGAACATTGGCCAAAGGCTGGCTGGAAGCCAGAGCGTTCCCCTGGAGTCTGCCGCTGCTGAGAGCCAGGGTGCAAGGAAAGTGTAGAGCTGGGTGTGAGCAGGAACGGAGACTGGCACTGAGCCAGGAGGGGCCTGATCACTGGCCCCCCCGGGCCGCACACACCGTCCCAGGGGCAGGGCAGGGTGATCCCACCAGATGCCCCTGGGTGTGCCAGCCTGGAACACAGTGTCAATATCCTGCAATCCAGGCTATTGAACCACCTCCCTCCCGCCCACCCACCCAGCAGGGTCGCCAGCCCACACAGCTGCTACTCCGGACCCCCCGAACTGCCTTCCTAGCACGTCCCGGTGGGGGAGAGCTCAGCACCTCCAGCCCGGGAAACCCCGGCTCTGGGAGGGGAAGGAAGGGGGTTTGCTGGGGCTGAACAGGTAATTCCGGCTCGCTGGGCCCAGAGCCAGCGGGGCCAAGCGCAGCATCGGTACCCATCCCAAGATCTCAGGGCTTTGCCCTCTGCCCGTGAACAGCTGTGCCCCCTAGTACCACGAGTGTATCCCGGCAGCATCCCAGTGCACCTGAGAGCAGCCGGCCCAGCCTTGGTCTGCCTGTCCAGACAGCTGGATGAGGATGTTCCTTGGAGACCCCCGGCACGACTCTGGTGCCCTGCCCAGGGTGAGGGTAGCCCCGGGGTTGGCCTGTTGGGGGCGCTAGTCTCACCTTCGCCCAGCACAGCCCTTGCTTCTAAAACCTCTGGAGCACAGATTGGGCAGCCCCCCACCATGTGGTAACCCTGTAATAAGGAAAATTAGCACCAAATTCCAGAGCACGAAGAGCTGGGAGGCATTCACCACTTTGAAGTCTTTGCAATGCGTTTCGTGGTGGGAAGGCAATTTCTTGTGCACTGTCCAGGGCGCCTGCCTCAAGGCAGTGCAGCCTGGCATGGACGCTGGTGCCAGCCCCTTCCTGCTGCAGAAGGTCCCACTGGAGCCGCACCAGGATGGCCAAGCCCCAAAAGGCCCCGAGTGACCGTGGTTCAGCAAAACACTCAGACGCTTCTCAGACCCAGCGCTCCGAGCGTCCTGCTGCACTCCGTGGCACCCGTCCCGTACCCCCTCTGGCGCCACCGGATGCCCAAATAGCTGTGGTCGTGAAGCCCCTCTCCCCTCTACAGCTGCCCGTCTGTTTCACATGTGTCCGCAGCCGCCCCCCGTGAACACTGCACTGTGGAATGACAACTCCGGTCACACGACTTCTCCAGAGTGCTGCGACCCGCCTGCTTGGCACCGAGGGCTCAGCTCCCTACACTGGTCTCCCCTCTCTGCCTCCAGAGCCCTCCACGGGCCAAGCTACCTGAGACGCCCCCTCACCCTGCAGTCCCTGGGCCATCGGCGCACACGGGCTCACCTGGGGGACCTGCTGCTGGGCCTTTGGGATCGAACCCCCTTTGCCTTCGTTGTCCCTGGAGCGAGAGGAGGGGGAAGAGGCAGATGCCCTCATCTCTATGGCAGAGGGCAAGAACTGCAGCCTCGGGAGCCGGTGGGGATAGCGTGCTGCTCAGTTGCGGCACAGACAGGAGCCAGGCCAGTGCGTGGAACAAGCTGGAGGGCTCAGAGCCTCCATCTTCTCCCGTATTTCCATGCGGGCTAGAAATCCTGCGGGAAGGGCTAGCACCACTTCTCCCTGTTCTATCCCGCCTCAGGTGCACGCACGCTGGGCCGTGTTACCCCTTGCTCCATCGGCACCGTCTCCTGGGCACAGAAGGGCTCAGCTGAAGCCAGTGCTGTGTTCCTAGTGGCTAGAAGGAATGTTACATTGTTGCAACGGAGGGTCTAGCATGCACCTGTGTGACGTTATTGACTTGAACTGGGACTATATAGATCATTGTTGCAACCAAGGTCCTGTAGTGGCACCAAATCTTGTATAAAGGGGGTCAAATGAGGTGTCTAAGACAAAGTTATGGTTTGCTGGTTAGGATGATGCTGTCTGTATATGTGTATCATTTTTGTAGTTGAAGTTATGAATATTGGCTCTGTACTGTCTGCAGTTCAAACTTATGCT